TCCTCCTTTTCCTCGCTCCTCCTCCTCCTCCTCGTCCTCCTCCTCCTCTTTCTCCTCCTCGTCGTCGTCGTCCTCCTCCTCCTCCTCCTCTCTCCCCCTCCGCCCCCCCCTCCCCCTCCGCTCCGCCTCCTCCTCCTCCTCCTCGTCCTCCTCCTCGTCGTTGTCGTCGTCGTCGTCCTCCTCCTCCTCCTCCTCCTCCTCCTCCTCCTCCTCCTCCTCCTCCCCCTGCTCCTCCTCAATGCTGAAGTCCCAGGAATGGCGTTCTGGAGCGATTCGGGACGTGAAGACGAAACAGTAACGGCGATTCGCGCCATTGGAATCCCAAGAATGGCGTTCTGGCGCAGTTCCGGATTTTCAAACGGTTGTCTTCCAACGGGGGACTTCCCTCAGTGAAAATGAATATTGTATGCGGTCTATGACGAAGGAACTTGGAAGTATGGTTCATTACAGTATCGTTGATGAGTCGTGGGTTAGCTCTCCTCCTAATCCTCCTCCCTTTTTACCTAACAGCTCTTGCTGATAGGTTTCTAGTGGTCTCAAAAGAGAGCATCATGACTCCTCAGGGGGGTCTGGGCGGGACCCGGGGAGGCTGCCGTCGAAGCCGAAATCGCTTGGGACATCCTCGCAAAATCGCTCTTGGTGCTCCCAGAACTCCATTCCCGGGCCACATTTTGGATGCCCGGAGCCAACTGTAGGCCACTTCGTGCTCTTCGACTTCCCAGAACTCCATTCCCGGGCCACATTTTGGATGCCCGGAGCCAACTGTAGGCCACTTCGTGCTCTTCGAGTTCCCAGAACTCCATTCCTGGGCATGATTTTGAATGCCCGGAGCCAACTGTAGGCCACTTCGTGCTCTTCAAGTTCCCAGAACTCCATTCCTGGGCATGATTTTGAATGCCCGGAGCCAACTGTAGGCCACTTCGTGTTCTTCTAGTTCCCAGAACTTCATTCCTGGGCCACATTTTGAATGCTGAGGCAGGCTGATGCTGCGGCCGAGGCAAGCTGAGGCTGAGGCTAGGCAGGCTGAGGCTGAGGCCGAGGCTGAAAGACTGAGGCTGAGGCTGAACAGACTGAGGAGCTGAGCAGGCTGAGGCTGAGGCTGAGGCAGGCTGAGGCTGAGGCAGGCTGAGGCTGAGGCTGAGGCTGATGCAGGCTGAGGCTGAGGCAGGCTGAGGCTGAGGCCGAGGCTGAAGGCAGACTGAGGCTGAGGCTGAAGCAGGCTGAGGCTGAGGCTGAGGCAGGCTGAGGCTGAGGCAGGCTGAGGCTGAGGCTGAGGCAGGCTGAGGCTGAGGCTGTGACTGCGACTGCCGTTGCCGCTGCGACTGTCATCGCGAATGCGACTACGACTGCGAGAACAGCAGAATTCTACAACTGGATTTTCATTTGAATCTTGAGGGGAATGCTTTCAGATATGCTTCTACACATCGCGGTTAGGTTGCTTTGCCGGGATAATTTTAACATTGGCCACGCAGGGTTTGCACTTGTCTTCCTCCTCACCCTCTTCCTCCTCTTCCTCCTCGGCCTCATCCTCCTTGGCCTCGAAGCCCGTCCTCCTCCTCCTCCTCCTCCTGCTTCATCCTCCCTCCTCCCCCAACGGCGGCGGCGACGAAGACGAACACGAGATCGACGCTGGCGGCGACCAGACGAAGAACAACATGCATCATAATAAACTATTGGGGTTCTGCGCGGATTCCTGGGCGCCGATCCAGGAGATCCGCGCGGAACTCCATAGATCATGTCTATCTGTGTCACTTTCTCCTTCGAAGACGACGCCGACGGCGGCCTCCGGGTCCGAACTCGGATCTCCAGCGGCCGCTCGGGACGAGCCGGACATGCCCGGGAACGCTCTCGGCGACGCGCAGCTGCTGGGTGGGAAGCACCCCGCGGCTGGAAAACCGCCGACGGACCGAGGAAGACGTCTAAACGCTTCGAACGACGACAACGCCGACGACGCTGACGCCGCCGACGACGACGACGACGCTGGCGGCGGCGACGACGACGTCCCTGGCGGCAGTCGACGACAACCGACGACGACGACGACGACGACGACGACGACGACGACGACGACGACGACGACGACGACGACGACGACGACGACGACAACGGCGGCGGCGGCGGCGGCGGCGGCGGCGGCGGCAGGCGGCGGCGATGACAACGATGACAATGACAACGACGCCAGCGGCGGCAGCGGCGGCGACGACGACAACGACGACGACGACTACGACCTCGCCGCCGGCGGCGGCGACAACGGCGTCGGCGGGGGTGCTGGCCCGCGGCCGCAGCGTCTCGTCGCACCGCGTGCCGCCACCCAGCCGCTGCTGGAGGATGCGGTGCCCTCGGCGCAAGCAAGGCGGAGGAGGGAGGAGAAGAAGGGAGGAAGAGGAGGAGGAGGAATCAGCAGGAGGACGGCCTTCGAGGCCGAGAAGGAGGAGGAGGAGGCTTAAAGCGGGGGGCGATCCCTGATATCTGGGCAGCGATTTGTTCGCGTTGGGCGTTTTCGCCGTCTTTGGGGCCCCAAAGACCGTCACAGGTCGATCCGGCTCGGACGATGCTGCAGAAAGATGGGGCCTAAGGCTCCAATCGTGAATCTCCGCGATGCCGCAGGCTTTCCGCAACGTCGGATCTCAGGGCCCCCTCTTCACTCCTACCCATCCTCCCCTCCTCTCCACTCCTCCCCTTCCACTCTTCCCACTCCTCCCCCTTCTTCCCTCCCTCTCCTCCGCCTCCCACCCCTCCTACCCCTCCACTCCTCCCCCTCCTCACCTCCTCTTCCCCCTCCCACGCGTCGCCATGCACGTGATTCTCCGCCCTCCTCCCCCTTCCCTGGCCCTTCCCCTCCTCCTCCTCCTCACCTACTCCTCCTCTCTCCTCCTCATCTCCTTCCTCCTCCTCCTCCTCCTACCCTCCTCCTCTTGCTTCTCGTCCTCCTCCTCCTCCTGCTCTGCCCCTGTCACTGCCCTCCTCTGCCTCCTCACATCCTTCCTCTCCATCCTCTCATCACCCCGCGTCGTCGTTGTCGTTTGTCATTTATCCTCCTCCTCCCTCCTCCCTCCTCCTCATCCTCCTCCCTTCTCTCCTCCTCCTCCTCCGCCTTCGTCCTCCTCCGCACTCCTCCTCCTCCTCCTTCTCTCCTCACCTTCTCCTCACCCCTCCCCCTCCCCTTACCCTCCTCCTCATCCTCCTGCTCCTCCTCGCGTCGTCTTCGCCATTCCCCCCTCCTCCTCCTCCGCCGCGGCGGGCCGCCTGACGGCGTCGTCCGGGAGTGGGCCTGCTTGGGGCGCACGATGCTCATATTGACCCTGTCCACCTGGTTTGGGCCAGGTCCGAACCTTTGCCCCTCCTCCCTCCTCTCCTCTCCTTCCTCCTCCTCCCTCCTCTGCCTCTCCTTTCTCTTCTTCTCCTCTTCTCTCTCTCCTCTTCTCCTCTTCTCTCTTCTCCTCTTCCTTCCTCTTCTCCTCATCTTCTTCTCCTCCTCCTCCTCCTCTTCCTCCTCCTCCCTTCATCCTCCTCCTCCTCCTCCTCCTCCCATTCCTCTCTCCTTTCTATCTCCTACTGCGTCTCCATCGTGCTCGCTCCTCGTCCTCCTCCTCCTCCTCTTCTTCCTCCTCCTCCTCCGCCTCCTCCTCCGCCTCCTCCTCCTCCTCCTCCTCCTCCATTCCTTTCTCCCTGCCGCACCCCGAGGCTAGATTTTAGGACGGGCCAGGCGTTTCGCCTAAGATTTCCACACAGCTTATGATCCTGGAGCAAAAAAAGGTAACAGTTGCACAGACGGAGGGCGGGTGGTTTTCGAAATGTGGCTCTCGCCTGAGCCCCGCGTACACTCATTCACGGGTTGAAGGCGGCCCGTTTTCAAACTTTAGCTCTCGCCTCAGCGCCGCGCGCAATCGTTTTAAACATCTGCAAGAGTTTCACGGATTGAGGGCGGCTCTTTTTCAACATGTGCCTCTCGTCTTAGCGCCGCGCACATTCTTGCTTAGACTTTGCAGCGGCTTCGTGGATCCCCATGATCAACATACCAGAAATGGTGCTTTGGATCGACTCCGGGTTATGAGGGTGCAGCAGTTACATTGCTTCGCGGAATTGCAGTCCCAAGGATGACGTCCTGGAACGATTCTGGATCGCCAAGGCGCAGCAGTCAAGTTGATTCGTGGCTTTGGAACCCCGAGAACAATGTTTTGGCATGGTTCAATTTCAAAAGGATGCCTTCCAACGAGACATTTCAGTGAGGGGGAACCGTTGTAGGGGCCCGTGAAGAGGGAGCTTGGTGGAAGGGTTTACTCCAACGTCGTTGATGACTCTTGGGTTTACACTGGTACTCCTCCTGTTTCTCCTCCTCGTCACCTTCCCCCTCCTCCTCCTCCTCCTCCTCCTCTTCCTCCTCCTCCTCCTCGTCCTCCTCCTCCTCTTCCTCCTCCTCCTCCTCACTCTTCCTGCTGCTCCTCCTCCTCCTCCTGCTGCTCCTGCTCCTGCTCCTGCTCCTCCTCCTCCTCCTCCTCCTCCTCATCATCAGCATCAGCATCAGCATCAGCATCAGCATCATCATCATCATCATCATCATCATCATCATCATCATCATCAGAATCATTATCAGCATCGTCATCATTAGCATCAGCATCATACTATTCATCATCAGCATCATCAGCATCATCATTATCATCGTCATCACCATTGCCATCACCATCATCATCATCAACAGCATCATCACCACCACCATCACCATCACCATCAGCATTAACATCATCCCCATCATCACCATCATCATTGTACCATCATCCGTATCATCATCACCACCACCATCATCAAGATCATCATCAACCACACCATCGTCATCATCGTCATCATCATCATCATCATCACCATCACTATGATTATCATCATCGGCATCACCAGCATCGTATCAGCATCATCACCTTCAGCGACATCATCACCAGGATCATCATCATCGGCAGCATCAGCACCATCATCAGCACCATGATCACCATCAACATCAACATCACCATCACCAACATCATCATCATCATCATCATCATCATCATCATCATCATCATCATCATCATCAGCATCATCATCATAATCACAATCATTAGCATCATCATCAACATCATCAACACCACCATCATCATCCCCTCCTCCTCCTCCTCCTCCTGCTCCTCATGTTCCTCCTCCTCCTCATCCTCCTCCTCCCCCTCCTCCTTCTCCTCCGCCTACTCCTCCTCTCTGCTTCTGTTGGTCATCCTTCTCCTGTTTGAGGCTCCTCCCTCCGTGATCCCGCTTCGTGGACGTAGTCGTCCTCGTCATCCTCCTGCTACTCCTTGTCCTCCTCCTATATCGTTGTCCTCCGTCATTCCACTGTTCCTCCTCCTGGTCCTTATCCATTATTCGTGATATATCCCTCTTGTGCTCCTCGTCCTGGTCGTCGTCGTCGTCGCCCTCATCCTCGCTGCTCCCTGAACCATGCTCCCATTTTTTCCTCCTCGTCCCCCTAGTCCTCCTCGTCGTCCTCGTCGCCCTCCTCCTCCTCCTCCTCCTCCTCCTCCTCCTCCTCCATTCCTTCTCCGTATGAATAACCCCCTCTGTCGCACTCCGAAGCCAATGCGGCCGAGCGTTTCGCCCGAAGCTGAACAACTGACATCCGTATCACGGGTGGAGGGCGGGTCGCTTCCAAAATGTGGCTCTCGCATTAGCGCGATGTGTACTCGTCTTAAACATTTGCAAGCAGTTCACCTATCGAGGGCGGGTAGTTCTCAAAGTGTGGTCCTCGCCCTAGCGCCGCGCACATTCGTCTTGACACGCTGCAAGAGCTTCGCGGACTGAGGACAGGCCGATTTCAGCATGAGGCTCTCGCCATAGCGCCGCGCCTATTCGTCTGAAACACATCACGCGAGCTTCACGGAGTGAGGGCGGTTCGTTTTCAAAATGTGGCTCTCGCCTGAGCGCCGCGCTCATTCGTTTTCCGAATGTAGAGGGGCTCCTGTTCAAACGGTGGCCCTCGTGTTAGCTCCGGAAAACTTCGCCTTAAACACATGTAAGGGCGCCATGGGTTCTCATAACTAACATGTCAGACATGGCGCGTGGGAAAGATGTCGGACGGTCGGGGCGCCACAATTGCGCCGACTCGCAGCGTTGAAGTCCCAGGAATGGCGTTCTGGTACGAATCAAGTTCGCCAAGACGCAAAACTAAAATGAACCCGGAAATCCTGAAAATGGTGCATCGGCACGCGTCAATCTTGTCATGCGATTGTCCCCCCAACGGCGCACTCCCATCAGTGGAAATGAACGCTTGTAGGGGCCTGTGTTGAGGGAGCTTGGAGGGAGGGTGTATTCCAACATCCTTAGTGAGTCTTGGGCTGGCACTGGTCCTCCTCCTCCTCCTCCTGCCTCCGCCTTCTCCTCCTCCTCCTCCTCCTGCCTCATCCTCCTCATCATCCTCCTCTTCCTGCCTCATCCTCCTCCTCCTCCTCTTCCCTCCCCCCCTACTTGGCGTCGTCTCAATCCCTTCCGCCTCCCTCCTCCCCCATTTGCCTTGCCCCTCCTCCTCCTCCTCCTCCTCCTCCTCCTCCCTCCAAGAATGTGTGCTTCTCTGGTTCGCTCACCTCGCTCGTCCATCCTCGTCCTTTTCACTCCACCCCATACCACGCTGAGGTGGCGATTCGGAGAATGGCTAATAGCATCAGGCAAAATTCGAGGAGGAGGAGGACGACGACGACGATGCGGGAGCGGGAGGATCATGTTGGGAATGAGGAGGGAACGGAGGAGGATGAAGGATGAGGAGGAGGAGGAGGAGGAGGAGGAGGAGGAGGAGGAGGAGGAGGAGCACGAGGAGGAGCATTGCGAGGGAAGGAAGAGCTGGAGGCAAGAGGATGAGAAGAAAGGAGTGAGGAGGGAGGGGGAAAAGGGGAAAGTGTATCGCCGTGCCCTCCCCCTCCTTCAATCCTCGTTTGTCCGTCGTCCGCCGATCGGTGGGCCCCTCGTCCCTCGCAAGTCCCCTTGGGACGCCACACGGCCCCCTCCTCTTACTTTCCCCTCCTCCTCCTCATTTTCTGTTTCTTCTTCTCATTATTATTCTTTTTATTCGCAGCATTCCTTTCTTCGTCCTCCTTCTACATCTCCTCCTCCTCCTCTTCTTCCTCATTCTCCTCCTCCTCCTCCTCCTCCTCCCTCCCTCCCTCCCTCCTCCTCCCCTCCCTCCCTCCCCTCCTCCTCCCTCCCCTCCCCTCCTCCTTCCTCCCTCCCTCCGCCTCCCCTCCCTCCCTCCCTCCCTCCCTCTCTCCCTCCCTCCCTCCCTCCCTCCCTCCCTCCCCTCCGCCCCACCGCCCCCTCCGGTCACACGCAAGAGCAACCCTGGGCGAGGGTGGCCGTCGGTGGGCGGGCGGCTTGAGGCGGGCCGCGGGAGGGCCAGGCCCAAGCGCGCAGGCCAGTGCCGGAGAGACCCCGAGGTGCCCGCACCAGGAGGTGTAGGCTAAGAGAACTAGAAGGAGGAAAAGAGGAGGAGGAGTAGGAGAGGAGAGGAAGGAAGGAAGGAGAAGTATAGAAGTAGTAATGGGAAGAGTAGTAGGTAGGAGCGAGGAGGAGGAAGGAGGAGGTCGGAGTAGGAGAAGGAGGAGGATGGTTGGAGGGCAGTAGGGAGGAGGAGGAGGAAGGAGGATGGAGGCGAAGAAGGAAGGAGGAGGAGTAGGTAGGAAGAGGAAGGTAGTAAATGAGGCGGGAGAAGGCGGAAGGAGAGGCAGCAGAGGAGGAGGACAGGAGGGGGGAGGAGGAGGAGGAGGAGAATAAATGTCGCTCCGTGTCGGGAGAAGGAGGAGGATTAGAGGAGGAGGATGAAGTGGAGTTGAGTAGGTAGGAGGATTATAAACGTTACAGTCCCGGTCTGTTCCGTCGAAGGCCCCCCCCCCCTGGCGCGAAGCCGACCCCGGCCCTTCCCTCCCCAGACCCCGGGGCGTCACGCCGCGGGTGCGCGCCGCTGGCACCCCTGGCGAGCTCTCGGGCCCTTCCTCGGGGCGGGCCTCTCGTGCCAGGTCTTCTGCTACAGCAGAGGCCCAGCCACTAGAGACCTGCCACGAGGAACCCGACCCTGAGACACCAGGAAGTCCAACATATTTTTGGCTCGGGAGCATCACGTCTTCCATGGCAAAGCCATCGGAACCAAAGAAACCAAGGGCACCATGGAGGCAAGCAGGATGTTTCTGGGCGTGGGCTTTCACTGTGCAGTCGGAGCTGGGGCAGAAGAGCATCCCTCAAGAACATGAGACTCTCCGTCGGCCAAAGCAAGCAGAACACCCAAGCGTACCCTCCCCAGGATGCACAAGAATGTCCAGCAGGCACGGAGAACACTAGGGCACCCTCCCCGAACCAACCTCGATCTTGTACATCGGTCCGACTGTGCCTACATCTTCTTTTGTTCATGCATGCACTTCTCGAAGTGTGCGTGCCATTCTCTTGCGCAGGGGCCCTGCTGGTCTCCTCTGTATGGTGCCAGCGTTGGCGGAGGATCCCCGAAGGGTATCCATGCCAGGTCTGCTGTTTTGATGGACGGTCCCGGGGCCCGAAACGGTCCCCCTGAGGACCAGACCGGAGAAAAACCCGTCGTCACGAGCTCCCTCGCGGCGGAGGCGGTCCACGCCCCTCCCCTGCCCCGACGTCCGCCGTGTGCTCCGCGGTGCTGCTGAGGTGGCCCAGGGAGTACTCTGGGTTTCGCTTGCCCTTGTCCTTAGGTCGGGCATGCCCTCCTACAGAGGGATCTTGGACGAACAATTTAAAGCCGTCGCACAAAATACCACACAATGGTCGGAAACAGCAAAAATCTTCCCCATGCTATTTGTTTGACTATTTTTGAATTGTCCTCCTGTAGGGGGAGAGGCCCGACCTAACCCTGTCCTCGTGGAACTGCGTGATCCCCTTGGGGAAGCAGTACTCGTAGGTCCACCAGCCCTGGAAGGCGGCTGGGGGAGAGAAGGGTGCGGGCCAGGCGGGCGCCAAGGGAAGGGGAGGCGAGGGCAGGGGCGGCCGAGGTCGAGGAGGGGGACTGGACACGCGCGTGCCACTACAATGCGGGCGCGGCCGCAAGAAACCCTCGCAAGAAACCCAACCCTAGGAACCCGCGCGCGGGGTGCACCGGAGGGAAATCCAGAACACCCCGAACGCAGCAGCTCCTTCAACGGCTGCGGGAAGTCACCGCGCAGTGCGAGGAGCGAAGACACCCAGGATACCCTGACGAAAAACAGATGGTTTCTTGATGCGCGCCCCCACTGCACCCGCAGAGTAACTGCTCGCAAATGGCCTGGGCCCGCCGCGGGGGATCTGCGACACATTACATCGAGGCAGGCGCTTGTTTTTCGGACGGCTGCGAGCAGGCACTCTGCGAGTAGTGGAGCGCGCTCGGCGAGGGATGGGCAAGTCGTCGACTGATCTGGCATTGGGTCCGGCATGTCCCCCCACAGGCGGATTCTGGGCGAACAAAACAAAACATCAAACAAGTGCTCAAAAAGAGGCAACAGTACTTAAAACACATCGTCCCCAGGCTACTCTTTTTCCCAACCCTCCTGCGTTGGGTTCTCGTTTTGAATAGAGCACTGCTCGCGCGTCTCCTTCCTTCCTTCCCGTCCCTCTCTTCCCCCCTGCCTTTGACCTCGCCATCCCTGGGGGGCTGCGATCTGTGAAACTGTCGCCACTTTCGAGGGCTGCTGGGGGGTCCAGCACAGTGGGTACCCACGCGGATTCAAATTAGACCTCGCCATCCCTGGGGGGCTGCGATCTGTGAATCTGTCGCCACTTTCGAGGGCTGCTGGGGGGCCCAGCACAGTGGGTAGCCACCGCGGACTCAAACAAGACCTCGCCATCCCTGGGGGGCTGCGATCTGTGAATCTGTCGCCACTTTCGAGGCCTGCTGGGGGGCCCAGCACAGTGGGTACCCACCGCGGACTCAAACAAGACCTCGCCATCCCTGGGGGGCTGCGTTCTGTGAATCTGTCGCCACTTTCGAGGCCTGCTGGGGGGGCCCAGC